GAGAGAGAGAGAGAGAGAGAGAGAGAGAGAGAGAGAGAGAGAGAGAGAGAGAGAGAGAGAGAGAGAGAGAGAGAGAGAGAGAGAGAGAGAGAGAGAGAGAGAGAGAGAGAGAGAGAGAGAGAGAGAGAGAGAGAGAGAGAGAGAGAGAGTCCACGAGATGCACTGACCCATTACACTGATCCGAGGTTTCTCGAGCGTCTCTCGGAGGCAGGCTGCCCTCCCGCCGCACTGGGTACGCGAGGAACAGCGTACAGCTTTCCGATGGCTGCGGCCGTCAGTGGGGGGTGGGTGGAGTCGCGCGATCGAGCGTCTTGTGAGTCTGTGAGTCTGTGTGAGTGTCGCTCCTGTGTGGCCGTCATCTCCCGTCCCGCGTCCCCACCCATACCCCGCGTTGGTGTCCCAGTCCGAGCCCCTGGCTGCTCTTCGCCTTCCTACCTCCCTTCCTACCTCCCTACCTATCGAGTGATCGTGTGTCGCACGCGCGTGCGTGCGTGCGTGCGTGCGTGCGTGCGTGTGCGCGCGCGTGTGGCGTGAGTGCGTGCGTGTGCGCGTGCGTGCGTGCGTGTGTTTGTGTGCGAGTGGGTGTGTGTGTGTGTGCGTGTGCGCGCGTGTGGCGTGAGTGCTTTTCAATGCCGACTGTCTCGCCTGCCGCTTGGGTCGTGCATGTCGAGCAGCGCGACGAAGAAAGGGCTGGCGCGGAGGGAGGCGTGCCTAGTCCCATACCTCCAGAGTCTCGAATCCAGTGTGGGTTCGGTCCCGGTGTGGTGCGGTAGCGAACCGACTGCCTACGCGCTGAGTACGCATACCTCGGGGCGGGAAGACGGTGTTGTGCAGAGGGTTCAGAGCTCCGTGGGAAGAGGGGGGCGAGTAGAGCGAGCGCAGCTGAATACGGCCGATTGCAGCGAGCACGTGTCCTCTCGAGACAGCGCCGGTGGGAAGACACGAATGCACATTCCGCCTCTAGGGAAGCTTGCAGCAGGTGCAGCTGCGCGCTTAGCTCGTTGGCGGAGTGGAGGATGAGCCTAGGAGAACCTCGGAGAACCTCGGAGGATCTCGGAGAATCTCGCTGCGTGGGCGGAGGGGAGGGCGAGCCAGCGAGCGGAGGAGGAGGAGGAGGAGGAGGAGGAGGAGGCATGGAGCGAGTTGAAGGCTCGCGCCGCATCACGCGCCTGTGCCGCGGAGTCGGTTGAGTGAGGGGAGACGAGAGGAGGGGGGGGGGGGGTGGGAGGGGAGGAGAGGGGAGGAGGAGGGGAGGAGGGGAGAGGAGAGGAGAGGAGAGGAGAGGGGAGGAGAGAGGTGTAATCGCCTCTGCTGTGAAGTTCGAGTTCGAGACGAGATGCCCGCGCCGCACGCCGGCGAGCTGCATCGCGCCTATGAATCAAACAATGACTAGTTAATTCATTACATAGGAGACCGCACGCCGGCGAGCTGCCTCGCGCCTATGAACCAAACAAGAGTTACTTTATTGGTTCATTCTAGGAGGCCCGCACGCCGGCGAGCAGTATCTCGCACCGATCAGCCGCCGCACCTCGTCCACAGGCACGCTCGCCTACCGCACCACCCACGGGACTGAACCCACACTGGATTCGATACGCTGGGGGGGTATGGGACTCGCCCACGGCACGCCCGCCTTTGCCTTTGACTTGCATTGCACCACCTCGGCATTGTCGTCCTACGTGCTGAATACGCCAGCCTCGGGGCGGGGATACGGGTACTGTGCACCGCGTGGAGACAACGGGAGAGGGATACAGCGGACTACGGGTGAATACGGCTGAGTACGTGGCCCTCTCGGGCGCTAGTTGGGAGTACACGAACACGTATTCCGCTTCTAGGGTTGTCGTCCTTATCGTAGATCCACAAATCGATGCCGCCATCGTTGGGCCCGCTGCGCCGTGCAGGCGCCGCGTAGCCGCGCGCTAAGAAGAGCTGGCGAGCGACCTGCCAGCAGCACAGCCGGCCGTCATCGCTCCTCCGAGAGGGACGCACACACGGCTGAGGAGGAACCATCTCCCAGCCATCTCTCCTCCCCCGCCCATCTCCCCATCGCTGGCCCATGGACAGGGCAGAAGAGTGGGTGGAAGCACACAAGGGCAGCCCGGCGCCGCGCGCGCGTCGAACAGTTGCATAGCGGCGCCGACGACACTAGAGTATGCCGCCCAGAGTCTGCCGCTCAGTGGCATGCCCAGACGCATGTGGAGCTATCAGCAGTGGCTGCCATCTCCTCCCCTCCCCACATGGACCCCAGTCTTCACAGACCCGTCTTCACAGTGCTCACCTCCTCGAGCGCGCTGCCGCTCCGATCCGCGTGCGTCGCCTCGAGAACGCGCCGCGCAAACTCGACGACCGCAGACGGCTCGGAGGACGCATGGGAGGCCGCCGCGCCGCCGCCGCTGCCGCCGCCGCCGCCGCCGCCGCCGCCGCCGCCGCCGCCGCCGCCGCCGCCGCCGCCCCGCTTGTGCGCCTCCGCCAGTTTCCCGCGAAGCGCCTCGTTGGCCTCCGCCCTCCGTGCCGCGTCGGCTCGCGCCTCGGCGAGCTCCTCTCGCAGCCCGCGCGCCTCGCGAGGTCCACGCAGAGGGTTGGATGCGGCAACAGAGTGACTGGAGATTGGACAGAGTGTACAATACGATGGCTATCAGCGGCAGGTGCTGTAGGTGCGACAGACCTCGTCGGCGCGCGCCGCCGCCTCGGCCTCGCGCGCCGCCGCCTCCCTGAGCGCCGCCTCGCGGCGCTGCAAGGCGGCGACCGCCTCCTCCCGCTCCGCCTCGGCCCGCTGCCGCCCCTCCCGCTCGAGCGCAGCCTCGGACCTCAGCACCGACAGCGCACCCTCCCGCTGGGAGAGCTTGGAGCGGAGCGAGGCTGCCTCCTCAGTCGCCGACGCGACTCGGGCCTGCAGCACCTGTCCAGTCGCGCGCGCCTCGTCGCGATCGCTCTCAGCCCTGCGCTGACGGTCCGCCGCTGCGTCGAGCGCGAGCTGGAGAGCCGCCTTCTCCTCGGACAGCGCGGCCACCGCGGCCAGGAGGGAGCCGACCTCGTCCCGCACGGCGCACTGGGCCTGGGCGAGGAGCTCCAGACTGGAGGGAGCAGTGGCCATCACGTCGAGGGGCGTGGCAGTGGCCATCACTTGATCAAAATGGTTGCTCGGTCGGGTTCGGCCTCCAAATGGGGTAGGGGCGCGGCACACCCATCAATCAATCGCGCGCGCGCGCGCGTGTGTGTGTGTGTGGCGGCTTCGATCCCAAGGGGGGGAGCTGATCCCACTCAGTAACCAACTCTCAGGGGCAGTAGGTGGGCGAGCTTCAGGCACGCTCATCTCGATCGTCAAGGCGTCGCTACGCGCGGTCTTCCGCGGGGGGAGCTTCGTCGACGGGTGCGGGACCGCGGCGCAGCCAGTGCCGTGGCGATGCCTCCGGCTGTTTGCGGCGGGCGGCTTGCTGCTCGCTGCATGGCGAAAAACTCGTCTCGCCACACACCAAGGGCTTACGCTCTGGCGAGACGTGAGGCGCATGCGCCCAAGAGGGGAGGGGGCATGCGTAACGACGCTGCTAGAGATGCCTTTCGGGGCCCAGAGACAAAACTTCTGATGCCATGCGTGACCTAGAGTAGTGTCCCCAGCTATGGGCGTGTCCACGTTGGAGCCAGGTGTGGTGTGGACGCGAGAATAGCTCCGCCGTTCATGGAGGCAACCGATGCGAGTCGACTGGTGTGTGTCGTCGTGGTTTCGTATCAAGAATACTCACACTCACACGGCTCACGCGCCTCTGCTCGCATACACTCACACATCGAATTATCACTGTCAGTGAGTGCGAGAGATAGGGATAGTGGTAGGCTACTAGCCTCTGAGGAGAGTGACCAGAGACACCTCACACGACCCCACACACGGTCTAGTCCGGCCTCGCGGTCGGCGGAGATTGCTAGAGGAGGAGCAAGCCTGCTCCAGCCTCACGCGTTCGCCCCTGTCGCCTGTTATGCTGTTGTGCCCTTGTTTGTTCCTTTGGCACCTTAAATAAATAAATAAAAACGGACACCTCTCTACTGTGAGATGGGTAAAAAGGAACAGGCCCCCGCCCTTGCGATCTTTGTGCAGGGTTCTTTGTGGGTGTGGTCGGCGACTAGCCGGGGTCGTCCTCCCGATGGGGGACTAGCACTAGCCGTCTTCCACATGGTCCCTCGGGTCCCTGCTGCTCCTAATCTCTTCGTACATCCTCCTGCTGATCTCCGCAAAGTCCTGCTCCCTCCCTCGTCTCACCCGGAGTGCTGGGGGGGGCGAAAGGGGGGGGCGCGGCCTTGAGTTATGTGTACGCCAACTCAGGGTGTGTGGCAGCCACGCTGGCTGTGTGTCTTGTGAGCTTCTTTGTGTCTGTGTGTTGCCCGTGTTATAACACTGTACGAGCCGGCGTCTACCACGGCGCGTGTACTCTCACGGTTGGCCGTCGCCGCACACCACGCGACGACACACGGACTGGGACCACCAGTCGCAACCAACCAGTGGAGGCCTCGCGCAAAGCGCGGGAGAGCTGTGGCTCGGGATCAGACAGCGCGCCTCTCCGCCGGAAAGGTGCTCTCCCGTGTCCACTGTGATCATCTCGACCACGGCTGCAGCCCACGCCGACTAAAAATCTGGGTGCGAGGGGAGGGGGCAGTACAGGATTGCGATGCAACCATGAGTAGGTGACGTGCGCGGATCGCCATGGTCGGCAGGGTGCGCCTCCGAGAGCGCCTTGAGGTCCTCCGCTGTGATGAGGTCCGGATCAGACCCACGTGTAGCATCCAGCAGCGCCTCATCTTGCTCGGCGGCCGTCCGGTCAGCGCCGCTCGTGTCTCCGGCGAACCCGCAGCATCGGCGGCCCGCGTCAGGAGAGCCATACAGGTATATGGCAGTCGCCCAGAATCCGCCTAAAAGCAAACCTCGGGTCCTCATCCCGGAGGTCTGAACCCACGCAACGGCCAGAGAACAGACCCGAAACTCCGGCAATGGCTCCAAATTTGGTGAGAGCATCCCTCTTGTGAAGCCCGCGCATCACGCCATAGGCACCGGAGAGCGCGCGATTGCCACCGCCGTTGAGACAGAGTGCTGTTTCCCAGGTGTACTCGCCAGTGAACTCGCGGCCGGGCCCATTTCCGGTGGCCCCTGCGGCCGCTGGAATATGACGTCTAGCGGCCTGTTGCGACGTTTGTGCACGCTCCTGCCGCCGGCGCGCTTCAACGAAGGCAGGGTGTGGCCGAGAGCAGGTTGGAGATGATATTGACATCACGTCGGCAGCGCCGGCACGCTCGGGGCGTTGTCCCCGCAGGGCGAACACGCCTCGCGTATCCCTTTCTCGACTGTCTGAGCTTGTGCGTCTTGGGTTCGGGGTTGTGTTTTTGTGCGAACACGCCTCGTTCGGAACGCGCCGTTTCGACGTCAATCGCCGGAAGCACGAACATTTCTTTTGAGAGGCCTTCGTTGTTAATAATGAAAACGGATGGTGTCGCACACACCCGCACACACCCCGAAAGTTCTTTTGCGAGATTTTGTAACGACGACTCGACCTCATCCCCTCTCTCTTTCTCTCTCTCTCTCTCTCTCTCAGTGTATGTATGTGGCTCTTACGTACATTCCCGTAGGAGGACTCTGCTGACAGGGTTTGCGAGAGGAGCGACCCGAAGGGTTTCTCGGAGGTTAGTGCACCACTAACCGCCGCGCTTGGAGCAAGAGAACTGATTTCTTTTGAGAGCGCCTTCGTTGTTAATAATGAAAACGGATGGTATCACACACACCCGCACAACGGGCACAAAGTTCTTTTGCGCAGATGCTGCGCAGATTCTTTTGCGAGATTTTGTAACGACGACTCGACCTCATCCCCCTCCGCCTGACGTCCATCCGTCGGCGACGGTCGGCGACGTGTGGGGGAGCTGCGGCTATACCGCAACATGGATGAGATCCTCGCCAAGATCTGCTGTGACTATAAGCTGTGCGGAGGTTACGGGCTGTGGTCGCCCTGCGTCTCAAAGTTCAAGTGCCAGCAGGGCGAGGCAGACCTCGGCGTCGAGGCCCTGCTGGCAACAGCCAACACGGGTGAGTGAGTGTGTGTGATCACTCACAACACGGGTGACACATCACAACACAGCTCAAACTGATCATCACGTCCCGACCAGCTATGTGTCCCTCCAGGCGACGTCCTGCTTTTCAGCACAGATAAGTGCAGCCTGACTCACGCCGGGGGCTGCACGCCGTTTCTGCACGCCGGAATGATCTACCGCCACCCCGACGAAAGCCATCCTCAAGGCGGTGAGCTGTACCTGCTGGAGGCAAGGAGCCTGCCCGAGTCCATGTTCTTCCAGTACGGCGAGCCAGGAAAGTGGGGACTGAACGTGAAGCCAACTCCCTTCGATGCGGCCTACCCGTACCCAAAGGATAAGGTCAACGGGCCGCAGGTGGTGCCGATCAGGACAGTCTTCACCAAGGCGCCACAACGAGCGTCCACCCCTCGCGGGCGGCGTGAATCCCGCCGGGCTATTTCCTTCGCCGCATCCTGACGTCACTCCTTTCGGCGATCGCTCGCAGGAGTTTGTCGAGCCGTGGGGCATCCACTGGGATGAGGAGGAGCAGGCAGCTTGATAGTGGAGCGTGAGTGTGAGTACACACACACACACACACACACACACACACACACACACACACACACACACACACACACACACACACACACACACACACACAGAGAGAGAGAGAGAGAGAGAGAGAGAGAGAGAGAGAGAGAGAGAGAGAGTTGCGCAGCATGATTGCACTGGCCCAACCTTCGTGGCACGTACTGTAGGTTGCGACGAGTGTGTACGTCGCCTATCGGCAGCTAAACATGGAGATTACGCCCGAAGGGGTCGCGCGCATGCAGAAAGCGATGTCGCAGCTGCTGCTCCGAAACTTCGAGACCAACTCGTGCGAGCTCCTCGACGCAGGCTGCGACGTGATGTGCTGCAACTGCGACCCCTGCTTTCTCACCAACTCGCAGGAGGAGCTAAGCACCCTCTTCTGCACCGAATTTATTGCCGAGTGCCTCCAGGCGTTGGGGGCGGTGCCGGAGGCAAGCACTCGGAGGAGCGGGTAGCGCCGGCGCGGCCGCCAAGCGCACCTAACCGAACTCCTGCCGCGGCAGGACGTTGGCTCCAACACCATCTCACCCGGGGACCTGTCGCGCTACTACGGCCCGGGCTGGTTCTGCTTCAGCGTCGGTCAGGGTAGCTGCTGCAAGTTCAAGACCCCCCTCAGTGAGGGCGCGTCCTACTCGGACGAGAGCGTCGTCATTTTCCCGTCGGAGAAGTCAGAGTTCTTCAAGGACTTCCAGGACACGTACCAAGAGAAGTACGATAAGTGCCTGGAGGCGGTCATCGACATCCTCAACTGCGGACCGGAGAGCAAAAGCAGCTTGGCGCGGTACATCAACATGAAGAAGTGCAAGCCGCAGGCGTATGCGGATTTCAACAAGGTTTACAAGACCGCGCCCATGAAGAAGAAATGATGGCCTTGCACTCCCCTCTGCATGCGGTTATTGTATAGTTAGTTCTTAGTTGTGGTGCCGCCGGCCCCTGCAAGCTTGCATGAGAGAGCTGGATGACACCAGGAGGGGAGGTTGTGAGCAGCATGATCACGGGGCTCTACTTCTCGCCGATTGTGCGCGCAAGTGTGCCAGTCTGGCACCTTCCCCTCGACGCCATCTTAACCGCCTCGCGCCGCCCCTCGGCCTCGAGCTACTCTCCGCACTCTCGCGCCGCGCCTTCCTCTCTCAATCCTCTGCCTAGAGACACATGACACGTGTACGTCAGTACCCCTCCGCGCCGCACACGAGAGACGACCGGCACCGCGCACTTTCATTTTTTCAGATTTCATCCCACATACAACAACAGAACGCCGGGGCACTTTTTTACATTCGATCCAACTCAAACACGGCGCAAAGTCACGTGCGCGCTTCGTCCGTCTGCAGAGAGCACCATGACAAGAGGGTACACATAAAAAACGCCGCGGCGCGCGGAGGCGCGCTCCCCCGCTCCCCGCCCCTCGAAACTCGGGACGGCTGGGCCCAACGCGCCTCTGCCGCCCCTCTCACCGTCGAGAAGGGCCCCGCCCCCTCACAGCTCGTCGGGCAGGCCCTCGGCCGCTAGCAGGCTCG